GCTTGAGGTTTTCATTTTCTGTGAAGCCACAAATCACTCAGGCTATTATTTTTCACCCTGACTATCATTTTTTTTAGTCCTTGGCTGAAAGCTACTGAATATTGAAACAAGTATGAGGAGGAAGCTAGATCTCCAACATTAACGTTGACAGTCTGTGAAGAAAGTAGTCATTGTGGATAACTTACAAGATTTGGGGTTCTGGCTTCCTCTTTCCAGTCACATTGTTGCTCGTTTGTGAAAAATCGCTCTACTTGTAAAGCTAACCACCCATTAGTGAGCAAGAGTTGTTCCTACTAATTGACGGAGGCGTGGGAAAAGCAGCATAGTTAGAGGCTGGAGTAATTAATGGTCCAGGTGCCCTTTACTTCAGTGTCTGGCTCCTTCACTATCATGTGTGGCCCTGAGCAGTTTTTCCCTCATGACTCTTGGCTTCATTTTCTTCCTTGAGAAAATTTCCCCTTCACTCTCCTTGGAGGAAGTTAAATGATCAAAGAAATGATGTATCCAGAGCTTTTTAAAAAGATGCCTAGATGAAGTGCATTAGAAAGGCCTTGATTTGAATAGGTATTAATTACTATAGCCTTTGCTTATTGATAAAACTGCATAGTTGAGCTTTTAATCAGCTACGTGGGCATAATTGGCCACAGGAGTTACACAAAATCCTAAGGGAACATACTCCATGTGGTGTGTTGCTCTGTAGAGTCACAAGTACCAATGACAATGTGTGGTGGCATGTGTCCTGTAGCCAAACCCAGGAATCTTCTGTGGAGTGATGCGAATGGTGAGGGTCTGTCCCAAAGCCAGCCCACTCAAAGCCCATCCTACCCAATTTACATTAGAGGTGAGCTGCGCACAAATGGCTGTGCATATAATCCCAGCTACTCGGGAGGCTGAGATCTGAGAATCAAGGTTCAAAACTAGCCGGTGCAGGGAAGTCCATGAGACTCTTATTTCCTGTTAGCCACCAAAAAGCCAGAAGTGGAGCCATGGCTCAAAGGGTAGAGCACTAACCTTGAATGAAAAATGAAGGGACATACCCAGACCCCTGAGTTCAAGTCCCAATACTGCCACACAAAAAAAAAGTGGGGGGGGGGTCCTTAGGATTGCTTCTTATTATTTTTGGTCGGTCTATCTCATAGTGGAATGCTGAGCAGCTGGTGGGAGAAGGCTCTCAGATGTGGGGCTGATAGAACAGAAATGTGCCGGACCCCCATAAAGGGCACCGTATCTTTAGAGCAAGTGACACCTGGCCCTCTCACAGCAGCAATTGCTTGTGCCCTCCCTGTCTTACTGCATTCACACTCCTGCTCCTCCACGCCCAGCTCCACGCTCTCCACTAAGTGAGGACAAGCGTTCCCACACGTCCTCCTCAGCCCTCCAGACCCTCCTCTGTCCCCATACAGCGATCCAATCCTGAAAAGCTACTTACTCATTGGCCTGTTTCATTTGCACACAACAATGAATGAATTAATGAATGCTTAAAGCAGACATCCAGGGGATTGGTTGTTCTGCACCCTGTTAGAAAATTTTCTGCAGACAGTACATCATGTTAGGGACATGCCGGGGAAGCAGGGGCCAGAGGCAGACACCCTCCCCAGGAAAGCCTCAGTGGCTGCAGCCCAGCAAGACCAGATGGGCCCTTTGGCAGACACGCGAATTTCCACACAGAGCTCAACATCAGGGACCACTTAGAGTGAAGGCTTGGGTTTGTGTTTTATTTTGCAAGGGGCTGGGGAAGGAGGCGTTGCCAGGGAACCAGCCCTCTGAGCATTTGGTTCTGGGGCTCTTTATCAGGCAGGGAGTGGGCTTCAAAGGAAATGCACACATGGGTGTTTTGTTTTTTTCTCTCATGCACACCTCTAGCACACAGGTGCCAGGTGTGGCAGGAGAGGCCAATCTTCCTGCATGTCTAAGGAAGAGTGGGCTTGTAACACAAACACACACACACACACACACACACGCCCCATGCTGCCTAGCCAGTGCAAAATTCAAACGCAACATATTTAGACTTTCAAGATGGCAGCAGCAGAATATGCTTTTTGAGTGAAGGGGCGGTAGGTCCCTCACTAGGTCAGACTGTCATATCCAACTGCACTTTGCTTAGTCAAAGTCTCTTCAAGAGGGAGTATCAGCCAGGCACCCTTTATTCAGATCTAAAGAGGAGCTAGCATGGGGTAGGAAGAATAAATCTGCATACTCACATAGAGATTTCCAGCACATATTTAATCTAATTTTTAAGCTCAAATGAAAACTGAACTAAAGCTGAGTGTAGGCAGATCACGCCTGTAATCCTAAGCTACTCAGGAGGCTGAAATCTGAGGGTTGCGGTTCAAAGACAGCCTGAGTAGGAAAGTCCATGAAATTCTTCTTTCTAGTTAATCACTAAAAAGGCAGAAGTGGAAACATGGCTCAAAGGATAGAGTGTGAACCTTGATCAATAAAGCTAAGGGACAGTGCCCTGGCCCTGAGTTCAAGCCCTAGTACTGGCACAAAGAAGAAAAAAAAACTTGGAGATTGGAAATGCAAGGACAATTTCTTTGGTTGGTCTGGAGTCATTACGTGCCAGGAAGAAGCAAGAGCAATCAGGGATGATAGTATTGTCTGAATCTGTTGAGTGTTAATGCCAATAAGAGCTAAGGTTCTGCTGCTGCTGAGATCCTCTTTAGTAGGGCCATGATTGCCCTGACACAGATGGGAACACTGAGGCTAATGGGACCACTGCTGCATTTCTCCCAAGAGCCAGCAGCCCCAATCCAAGCAGTCAAGCATCAAAGCCCCAGCGCCTGGCCAGGCTGGTCCACACCTGACCTGTAGGACACGAGGCTGACATCATAGAGCCCCTTGGTGCTGGTGTTTATGTGTCTACAGCCAGATACCTGGCACTTGGGATCAGAGAGGAAGTTAGGGTGCTTCCATGGAAGGATGGATAGTTACTTGAACATCCATCTAAGGGGAGCCAGGGACACAGGGCTATGTATTAGACAAGTGAATCCTCTACAAGGGAACATGGACACAAAGCTGTCTGGGCTTTGAGTCATTTGTTCTCAGCAGCTCTCCTGCTTGGAATTGACCTTTGGTGGGTGGCTCACATGTAATCCAGCTACTCAGGAGGCTGAGATCTGATGATGGAGGTTCAAAGCCAGCCCCGGGCAGGAAGGTCCACGAGACTATCTCCACTTAACCACCAAAAATGCTGAAAGGGGAGCTGTGGCTCAAGTGGTAGAATGCTAGTTAGCCTTGAGCATGAAAACTTAAGGACAGTGACCAGGGCCTGAGTTCTCGGTCCTTCCACAAAACAAAACAAAAACAAAAATTAGAGAAGTTTCTATTTTGGAATGACGTGCACTCAAAATCATGAACAAATGAAGTTGTTCCTCAAGAAGAGATGATAGATGCCCCTAATTCCCTAGTGCTTATGCTGGGAAAATAATTTTAAATTGCAGCAGGGAAACTTTGGAGAGAAAAGAAGGTATAGCCACTCTAGAAACCAGGTTTTTATTTCGTCCCAGTTTTACATAGATGGCAAATCCATTGGTCGGATATTGACTGCCAGTACTCTGGGCCTGGACAGATGAGATTGATAGAAGCTGGGCCCTGTGGCTTACGCCTGCGATCCCAGTTACTTAAGAGGAACTGGTCAGGAGGAACGTGGCTGAAAGGCAACCCTGGGCACCAAGTTATCAAGACCTCATCTCACCCACTAAGCCAGGTGGTGTGGTTCCCTGTCATCCCAGCTACTCCACAGATGGAAACTGGGAGGATGGTTAGTCTGAGGCTGGTCTTGGGCAACAAATGTGAGACTCTATTTAACAGATTAACGGGAGTGAAATGGGACTGGGGGCATGGCTTTAGTTTAGCCCCCAATATAAGAGGGAGGGAGAGAGAGAGAGACTGGGAGGGAGGGAGGGAAAAGTTGATGAGACCCAGGAAGGTGGTCTGTATGGTGGAGGAATCATGGGCAGACAGGCCTGAAGAGGGTCAGACTCCCACATCAGGGCTCTGGAACGAGACCCTAAAGACGCCCCTGATCTCAGGGGTTCGCGAAAGGGGTCTCGGGGGCGGGGGGGGGGGTCCAGCCACTGGCAGGGGAAGGCCCACTCACATGCTAAGCCCCCCGCGGGGGATGGATGCAGCCTCCGTCCCAGTGGATACCGATGCGCGCGCAGCCTCGGCCCAGGCCTCCCGGACGGACGAACAGACGGACGTCCCCGGCGGGCCGGGCAGCTTTCACTTTCACCCAGCGTGGGTCCCGGGGCGCCCGGGACACCTCCAACTTGCAGCCGCCTCCCAGCCGCGCTGCGCCCTCCCAGCGCCCCGGGCGTGGGGTCTGTGCGCCGGGGTCCCACCGGGCCCTGGCCGCAGAACGCTGGCTTGTCTTTGTGCTGCACAAAGCCGAGGGTGAGCGCGGCGGGCGCGCGGATCGCGGGGTGGCCGGGGACCCCCCCCCACCTCCCTCCTCGACCCTTCCTGCCCCGGCAGCCTCCGCCCTGCGCCTGCGATCGCGTCCCGGGCCAGAGCACATTAGCGGCAGGAAGTGGAGTCCCCGATGGGAGGCTGGGAATTTGACCGCCTGCCCATTTCAGCACTTGAGGGGAGGAAGCGCCGGGACGCAGCCCGCCCTCCGCCCGGCGAGGGTGGGCGCAACGCTCCCGCCCCCCTCCCTCCCCCCATCCCCTCCCCCCTCCTTGGAGGGAAAAGTCTGCGGAGCAGGGAACTGTCTTACACCACTCAACAAAGGCGCACCGGGAGGACAACTCGAAAAAAGAACTTGTTTTTGTTTCCCCTTAAGAAATCTGCAGGGAAATCCACACCCACGCTGCCTGGGATTTTGAACCCCGGAGTTGCTCTGTGTGCGCGCGCGTGTGTGGATGCCCCAGCGGGGCTGGAGGCACCAACCACTGCACGGGCTCAGCTGTGATAAGGAAGCTGCCAGCTGTGGGAGGTGAAGCCGTGAAGAAGGAGCGGCTGGTGAATTTAAACTCCCGTTGTTCTCTGTCCAGATATTCCAGTGGAGGCAGCTGGAAAACCTGTATTTCAGGGAAAAGAAGTTTTCAGTGGAAGTCCATGACCCACGCAGGTAAGCTTGAAATAAAAAGTCCTTGTTCTCGAGAGCACGGTAAAGCATGCCATTGATATGATGATGATGATGATGATGATGGTTGTGCCTTTGGGATCCTTGTTCAGTTTGAGAGGAGGGTGGAGGGGGAGGAGAGGGAGGGATTGGGGAACCTTGGAGGACAGAGTTCAAGTCAGAAGGTAAAGCTTTATGTTGATAAATGCTGTGTGTGTGTGATTAGCGATTCCAAACTCTGGCTTTATCCTACTTGCTCTCTGCATATGTGTGTCTTGCACGCCAGGGGACTTAGCAAGAATGTCAGTGGCACTTTGGAACAAATACCAAGTTCGCCTGGGCAGTGGCTCAGTCCCTCTGGGAAGCTGTCCCAAAGAGCAGGCCAAAAAAGCTTGCTCATCGGAGCTGCTTAGAGTAGGAGAGGATTTCAAGCAGGACAATTGACACTAAAAGGAATTTGTCACTAAAGCCATTGTTTTCTTCTGGCAGTTGTACTCTTAGGATGTGAGCGTGGTGACTGCGTGTACAGACGCACCATTGTTTTTCCCTCCAGAGAACACAGGGTGAAAAATCTGTGTTTCAAGTCCGGTGCCAGACAATAAGTTTGGAATGCAGAGTCGGGCGTGGAAGGGGTCCGGGGCAACGTTTGCCCTCTGCTTTTCCTCTTTGTCTGCTGGCAGGCCCCAAACAGCCACAGAATTACTTAGAACCAGGCTGACACCTGAGAAGGAAGGCAGAAGAAGCACATTGGCAGAGTAGCCTGGGGAGACAGTCCAAAGTTCTGCCGCTCCAGAAAATCCAAGATGAACCTTTAGGGACGGGTGATACCCAGTTGCAGACGGAGAGGAAGAGCTGACATGAATGCCACTGCACTCTTGGCTCTGATTCCATGAGACAAGCTGCCGTGCCTTCCAGGGAGCATTGGGGACTGGAAGACGCATCGTACCCATGACAGGGCTGGGGGGGGGGGTGCGGCTGCCTGGGTTCCTGCAGCTGGTGATAACTCCTGGGGATGGTGTACAGCTTACCTCGCCCTGTAATCTGCCCGCAGCAGCCTCTCTAGGCCACAGCTTATCCCTGCCCCCACAGTACCTGTGGGACTAGCAACTGGAGTACATTCTACAGGATCCCTGTGCCTGAAGTGAGGTGCAAGCAGGAGCCTTGAACAGAAGGATAGCTAGTGGTTCTCAGGGTCTTGCTGTATACACGCCAGTCCATCTGCACAGCCCCACAGGGAGAGGGGCTCTCCAAAAAGAACTCAGCCAACAAGAAACGCAGGGCTGTTTTTCCAGGTGAATTCTATCATAGCAGATTCTTCACCACCATGTGAGAGTCAAGGAAAAATCTAAGAGTGAAATGAATGGGTCAGATGCCAGAGAAAATTGAATAAATAAATATTATTTTCCATGCTTGTCCTCTGCTGGGAATTCTGCTCTCTCAGAAAGCACCTTGGACAAATCATTTTAAGCCGCTATGTGTGTGTCTGTATGTCTGTGTGCACACATGCACTCACTGTGCATTATCATCCCTATCAGCAAGGCAGTATAAATTTCCTTCCTTTCCCCAAGATCCAGAGATAGAGAAAAAGCATCCAACCTCAAACCTTACCACTAACTGGGCTTTCGCTTATTAAAACAAAAGGAATCTATCCCATATGTTCGGGGAAGCTTCTGTTTGGACACTGGGCTTGTGGTGGTAGGGTACAAGGGAAACACCAAGGCAGGTCCTCTTCCTTGAAGAACTTTTAGCAGAGTTGGGGTGACAGGTAGAAGAAGGAGCTGACACTTTTGGGGGGGGAATTGAGGGGCCCTCTGTAGACACCAGTCTAAACATACACATTCCTTCAGTGGGTCCTATTGTTATTCCCGCTCTACGTGTGGGAAACTGAGGCACAGAAGGTATAGTAACTCACTGTAGATTGTAAACAGCCAGTACACAGTACAGACAGGGTTTGAACCCAGAGGTCTGCTCCACTGTAACTCAAGGCAGAGTGCCAGATAGCATAAACCCTAAGTGCTGGGGGATACAGATGCCAAAGCAAGACCAGCTGGTCTAGAGGGGCTTCCTGAGAAGAAAATCTGAGCTGAACCTCAAAGGGTAACTAGGATTAAAGCCAGGATGTGGGCTCGAAGGCAGCTCAGGACACCAGGCAGGAATGTCCTTCCTCATCTGAAGTCATAAAGCAGACAGGAGGAGAGGACCCACAGGTGGCATGCTGAGCTTGGAGTATGGCCAGCTCCTCTAAGGAAAGTAGTCCTCAGTTCGCCATGTTTCTTTTTCCCAGAGATGAGCAGGAAAGCAGATGAGGCCCACACTAGCTTCAGCTGGAAGGAAAAGACTCTGGATGTCCAAAGAGAGGGAATTGCCTCAATCCAGCTAGTTCCATGGCAGAGCCACCCACTAGTTCTTTCCACCTACTAATTCCCCTCTCGTGGGCAGGTGGAGTTTTTAATGTGGCATTGGTCTCCCTGTTGCTTGCTGCCTTGCTTATTGGGAACAGGGAGGTTCATCTAATTGACTGTACCTTGAGGTTGACCTTGCCTCCTCTAAGCCAGGGAGAGAGCTGTTCATAGCTGGGAAATGCCAGGTAGAATCAGGTCATGAAGTCATTGGTGGGAGCCCGCAATGACAGCAACATCACTCGGGGTCAAGGGTGCTTGTGAGGGCCCACGGGACACCCGATGTGCAGTAGACTTGGTCCATCTACACAGCCTGACTCTCCTAATCCACCTCAGTTTCTACCAGTCTCTAATAGACTGAAATAGGGCAAACCCTACTTCATCAATAGGCAAGTCAGTGAGGTGGGAAGGGCCTGAAAATGGAGATTTGAGTGGAGGAGATAACTCACTAATGGAGGAGAATCTGATTTAGATGGGTCCGGGGAGCCACTTAACCTTTTGTCACTTGTATTACCTAAAAGCCAGCAGCACCCAGTGCTGACCACTATCCTCCCCCCCCCCCCCACTTTATAATTCCTCTTTCTAAATCTCCTTCAGTTTTTCTGGAAAAAAAATATATATTTATTCCCAACTCTAGCAGTTGCCCTAGAAACCAATCTTTACCTCAGGTCACAATGTTCAAAACTACAGAGACCTGGTGGGGAAGGGAGAGGCCTCCTTCTCCCCCCTCCTCTCTACTTGTTCCCACCATACACACTTTCCCTTAACTTTTGTTTGAACTCAAGAGAGGAAAGCCCTGCTTAATATCAGGTTTCTAATCACCAGATTTGAATTTCTTCTTAGAAGCAGGTATGAAGAAGCCGGAAGTGTTTTAAGTTTTAGACAAGGGGGAAAAAAATGGGCTATGAGGGGGGAGGGGGAATGCTGTTATTCACAAATCTTCATGCTTCATTACCTATCTTCCTCTTGAAACCATACATCTTTTTTTCTTCCTCCTCTTCTCCTGTGGGTACCAGGGCTTGAATTCAAGATTTGAGTGTTGTCCCTTAGCTTTTTCTGCTTAAGCTTGGAGCTCTGCTACTTGAGCATGCTCCCACTTCCAGGTTTTTTTGCTGGTCAATTGGAGATAAGAATCTCTTGCATTTGTCTAACTGGGATAGCTTTGTGCTGAGATCCTCAGATCTCAGCCTCCTGAGTAGCTAGGATAACAGGCACGAGCCACCGGCTCCCAGCATGAACCTTACTTTTGACATACAGATCAGATACCTCAGTTCTACCCAACCTGCATTATCTGTCTCCCTCATACCTCACATGAACTCCTCTCTCTTTCTCTCTCTCTCTCTCTCTCACACACACACACATACCAGGACACATTCTCAGGTTTCATTTGTTCTCAGATTTTTATCTCCCAATCATATAAAATATACTTCACTGAGAATATGACCACATAGCTCTTTTTCTCCAAAACTCCATTAACATGTGAATTACGTTGAGATCGGAGCTTTGTCTTCATTTTAAAACTCTTGATTGCACCTCTCTACTCCACACACGTGTATTCTCTTTAGACATATAAACGTCTACACAGTGGCCAGGGGAACTGATCAGCTTCTTCCTCTCTGCCTTCCTCCTTCCTTCCTCTCTCTGTGTCTTGGCTCTCCAAGCTTCCTTGCCCTCTTGAATCTACTTGGACTGTTGAGGTAGACTGATATAAGTCTAGTTATCTTCAGATGCTGTGACCTGTGGCCCCCAGGGAAGAATTCTACTCCTCTTCACTAGAGGCAACGTTTACCTGATTCGTGGAGAGCTTTTCACCTTTCAGAGGTTTGCCTTCGCCCGAGGGAGGAGCTGAAGATCAGGAAGTCCTCCAGCCTACAAAGATCTGTCTTATCCCAGAGCAGGAAGAAACTTTCAGAGCCCTAAGAAGTCAGTCACACACATGTGCCTGTGTGCCTGAATCTGTGAGTGTGTGTGAGCGCACACGTGTCTGTGAGCTCCTCTGTCCCCTTCATACCAGGGCTTTTAGGACCCCATGGTTCTCCTATAAAAGCTATTTGACGAGCAACTTTGCCCACCCTGATCAATATAAAAACTAATGACTCTCACTTTCCTAGGGCTTCGGTGACCAGGAGGACCTTCGGACACAGTGGCATTGCAGTACACACGTGGTATGCGTGCCCGGCGTTGATCAAGTCCATTTGGGCGATGGCAATTAGCCAGCACCAGTTCTATCTGGACAGAAAGCAGAGTAAGGTAAGTGCGCAGATTTGGAAGCTGGCCTGGGGGCAGGAGTTTAGGGGTGGGAATTGGATGGGTGGGGAGGGAGGTGCCCTGTCTTTGGCCTGAGTCTTGCACAGGTAGGCACTTGCCTCTTGGGGCTTCAGGTGGGAGGGGAAAGGGCCGATTCCTCTTTAAGAGAGGGCATGTCCATTGCTACCTGGTCTGGGGCTCTGGCTCTGCTACCATTGTGGCTACTCAAGCAGCCTGCTCCAAGCAGGCAGAGCCCAAGGGAAGAATTCCCAGCCTGCTTTGGGAATTCAGAAGACACTCTGAGGAGCAGACCTTCCAAATGGAGCCCTACTGGTTGTTTAAACACTGGGATATTGTTTTGTTTTTGAACAAAAAGAATTTTTTTAAAAAAAGAGTTAACTATTCTTAACTCATAGACACCACTTAACTGTTTAGGTTAATTGCTGTGAAAACCCTCCAGGCTTTTCCAACTGCCAACTTCATTTCTAAAAATGCAAAACTGGAAAAGCAAAAGCGTGTGCGCGCGCACATACACACACACACACATACACACACACGTAGCAGCCCTGTTTCCCTCTGGTAGAGCCAGAGCCTCAGGCATTGGGAAAGAGCCATCTGTCCAGGAAGATTCACCCACCATCCCCAGCCCAGACACAGGGCTGTGTTTGTGGGTGGGTGGGAGAATGACGTGTCCCTGGTTCACATAGGGCTTATGTCAACACTCTGCCCCCTCTTACTCCACCTGGCCTCCCCTCCTCCCCTTCCAGCCCCCTGTAGGCCACTCCTACTCAGGTGACTCTGCACTAGTCCCAGCATCCTGCTGCTGGGAACACCAGCCTTGGCCTCCTGCTGAGTGGGTCCCCCCCCCACACACACCCATGGAGGTTTCCTTTCCCCTTGGGCTCTTTCTCAGGAGCTGGCTGAGAACTCTGTCCTGACTGCACCAACGCCACTAGATCAGTGCCCTCTTGGGCTCTTTCTGTTCTGCCTTGTTTTCCTTTATTATGGGCTTTTCTTTTTCTTGGAAGGAGTTGGGGTCAAGTCAGGGCAGGGGATCAGAAGAAAAGAGCAAGAGAAATTGTTGGGAGGGATGAAGCGCCCCCCCCCCCGAGTTCCGGTGACAATCACTAGCTCCTTTGTCAAATACTGTTTCCTGTTCTAAGTCTTCTTCCTGATTGTTTTTTTTTTCTTTTTGGTCACTTTCTGGGGTGACTGTGCCCCAGGGGGAATATTTTAGTGGTAGGAATTATGGGACTATCTGTAACTCTCCTGGTGGTTGGTGGCCCCGTACACAAAAGTGTAAAGCTCAATTAGATGGAAAGAAACAAGGCCGAAGGGTCTGGCTCGGGCTGAACGTTGAGACAGTGCGGGGCGGGGGGGGGGGGGGGGGGGGAGTGGGGGGGGGGGGGGGGGGTGAGGGCAGCACCCGGCTCTCCTGGGCTGAGAGTTAGAGGTCACCACCTTTAAAAGTTGATTCACCCCATGTGTGGTTCGGCAATGGGTGGCAAAAATGGAGGGTTAGGAAAATGTCTTGAACCCCACTGCCAATTCCTCTTGAACACACACACACACACAACCATACATTGATATCAGAATCTGAAACGGAGAAAAATATGTAGCACATTTCAACTAGAGGAAGGTATGCCCTTCCGTCAGTTGAGGTCCTTGTGTCTGTGCCCTGGCTGTCTCACACAGCCTGTTCTCGGGGGTCCTTTAGCCCCCACCCCCCTTCAGATATGGCCCATACCTGGGCAGCATTGCCCAGCAGGTTTCAAGGTCAGCTGCTAGCATAGCAAGCGAATCTCAGAATGAAGCCATCCCAAATCACTTAACAAACAAGCATCTTTTAAGAAATAAAATCAAATGCCTATAGCATTAAGATCTCAGCTGTCATGCTCAGTACCCTGGGGGACAGAAGAAAAGTTCCCCATTCCCAAGGGGAATAGAATTTCTCCCCAGAAATCCTTGCACAGTCAAGAATGTTCTAGAACTCGTGCTTTACTCCTAGGAACCAACTCTTCAACTCAGAGACAGTTGAGGACCAAATTTCCCTACTTGAATATTAGACAGCTCTGTTTTCTAGCTCCATGACCTTTGACAGGTTTTGTGGGAGGAGGGGTGTGCACAATGTACACATGTACCAATCCTGGGGCTTGAATTCAGGGCCTGAGTGCTGTCCCTGAGCTGCTTTGCTCAGGGCTAGTGATCTAACACTTGAGGCACAGGTCCACCTCCAACTTTTTTGGTAGCTACTCAGAGATAAGAGTCTCACAGACTTTCCTGCCCAAGCTGGCTTCATACTGTGATCCTCAGGTCTCAGCCTCCTGAGTAGCTAGGATTACAGATGTGAGCTGTCCCCCCACCTGACTTTGAACAGGTGTTTTATATATTCATATGTGTTTTTCCCAACTAGAGAACGGGAAAGGAACCCTCTGACCTAAATTAGTAGCTGGACAAATGACACAATGTTTGTGAAATTGTGCTGTCTTTTATTAACACACTAATTAGTCTAATTTACTGTATCCTGCCCAATGCTTTCTTCAAGTTGAAATTCTCTCAAAGACCCCACATTACATCAAAGACGATGACATTAATTCCTTGTAGGAATTACATAACACCTTTCGTCTTTGGAACTTCATTCTTCACTGAAGAAGGGATCCATGACTAGTGATCTGTCTCTGGTGGGCTGTGTGGCTTTGGAGTGAGTGATAACTGATGGGCTTGAGATGGAAAAAAAATAGCTTTAAATATGTCTGGACAGTCCGTGTGGGCTGGCATTTTGGCTTGGCTTCACACTCTACTGTATGGGATGGTGCCAACCATTCCTTTCTCTGAAGTGCTTCAGCAAAGCTCAGGCCTCCCAAATGATGTTTATCAACACCAGAGACAAGTGTGGTCTAGTGGCTTGAGTCAGCGAAGGCGGGGCTACCAAGACAGCACATGTGCTGCCCTGACGTTCAGGTCACCAAAAATCATTTAGGAAAACTCCTCTGTCTCCCTCTCCTCCCTTCCCACCTCCCCCCCCACGCCCTCACCTCCCTCTCCTTCTCCCTCTCCCTCTTCCCTACTCTTTATTCATCATCACCCTACACGTGTACATAAAGAGATCCTTCCACTATCAAACATCAAAGGCAGAGTGGAAGGGAGGCTGTTGTACTGGCCGGTTTCCTGTGGCTCATTCCGTAGGAGAGGCGATGCAGTTACTAATTATAATTGGTAACTTATATATGCTGACCCTCAAGATCAGAAATGTTGTCAGCAGGATCCCAGCAACTCCGGCAGCCCAGAGCCAAGAAATGTTTGTAAGACTTCAGAGGAAAATGTTTGAAAGCTTAAATTGTTTAGAGACATCAGACACTTTTCTTCTGAACTCAGAGTAGAGCCTGAGTTCCAAGGCAAACATCTTTCCTCCTCCTTAATCTTTTCTAAGTCTTCTTAAGCTTTTCTTTTTCTCTCTTTTCCCCAATCCAGTCAGCTAGTATTCATTCCATCTAGAATCAAAAGAAGAGTTATAAACACGATAAAGAAAAGAAAGCCCAGGGCTGGGAAGGTGGCTCAGTGGTAGAGCACTTGCCTTGCATGCTTGAGGCCCTGGGTTCAACTCCTCAGCACCACATAAGCAGAAAAAAAAAAGCCGAAAGTGGCACTGTGGCTCAAGTGGTAGAGCACTAGCCTTGAGCTGAAGAGCTGAGGGACAGTACCCAGGCCCAGAGTCTAGGCCCCACAACCGTACCCAAAAAGAAAAAAAAAAAAAAGAAAAGAAAGCCTGACCTACAAAATCATCAGTGACAAGATGATATTTAAGGGCAAGACTCTCAAAGCAAGACATTCGGCAGTTTATGGTTCTACCCTCAGTTCTTTTGGGTTGGCCCAGAGATGATACCTTGCAAAGAGAGAATCTCCCAGACAGTGTTCATTTTCTTGTTTCTCTCCCTCTACAGAATCTGTTGAGTCATTATGATAGTTCCATTCTAGAAAGTTCTAGAAACTTCTAAAAATCTAGAATCTTTAAATGGGTTATCTGTTGTTCCCTCTCCCATATTATTTTCTGCCTGTGAGACTGGAGTGTAGCAGGATTAAAAGGGGGAGGTTAGAGAACTGGTTTTCCATGTGATTAATGAGATCCTTAAAATACCAGGTCAAGCCATCATCTAACCTTATTTAGCAAATTACTTCCAGGCCCTAATTTATATCTTAGTCCTATTGCCATGGCTTTGACACATACCATCTAACTTAGTCTGTATCCCAACTCTGTGATGTGGGCCTTAAGATCTCCATATTACAAACAGGAATCTGAGGACCAGAGAGGTCAAGGATTAAAATCTGACGGTGATTGATTGGAAAGAGTCAGGAATCCAATCTGGGTCTTTCGGACTTCAGAGCCTGGCCCTTGCCACTATGTTACATCGGTCCAGGACTTATTATAAGTTATTGCTACATAACTATGTAAGTGTGGGTTTCTTTGTATGGAAACACCGGTCTTGGGAAAGAGTCTTGCAGAAAGAAAGGAAGTAATGGATTGGGCTCGCTCTGCTTGCTTGGGGGATAAAGCACAACCAGATGGATGTTGTAGATAGGCTGAAAAAGAAAGCCTTTTCCTGCCTTCTGCATCAAGCCACAATCCTGCAAGGCCTAGCAGCTGAGATTGTATTATGAAGAAGGGGACCCTAACCTGAGGACGGTGAGCTGGTTCTGAAGGCAAGGAAGAAAAATTGAGGTCAGAAAGAAGGCCTTAGCTGAGGGAGGACCAATGGCAAAGAGAGAGGAGAAGGAAGACAGTTCATACCAGGTAAATACCCAACATGCCTCAGTGTTTCCTCTGACCAACAAGAGTCTTGTTAACCGGAAGAAGTGTGCAGAGGGCGGAAGTGGAGGGTGGAAGTTGTTGTCATTCACCGGCACCACAACAACATCAGGCCAGAGGAAGGGCAAGGCCTCAAGCGGCCCTGGCAGCCTCTTCAGGACAAATGAGGGTGTCTAGGTGCAAAAGGAAGGCATAATTCAGGGGGAGAGGGCAGTGGTGTCTGCACCCCTCCGGAGCCTGCAGAATCTGCCTGTTCAGTGCCTTCCAGGTGTGGAAGGACCTAACCTTTCTCAGACAGGCGAGAGCAGCACAGTGAGCAACTGGAAACCTCAATTATGACCCTCACCTGGCTCCATCCCTGTATGCTACAGTTAAAGGCCCCAGAGAGAGGGAAAGAAGAGCAAATGTGTGGGTTATAGAAGTGGTTGACTGAAATTCATGGTATAGGAAAAGCTGATTTCCTGAACAATGACAAAAATAACAAAATGAGCAATGCATGGAGGAAATGCAATGTATTTTCAATGTGAAGGTGGTAAGGCAGATAAGATAGCTTTGCTTAAAAAAAAAAAGGCATGTTCAGAGATGGTACTGTGAACACAGTATTTTCTGATTATTAACTGCTGTGACTACTTGCCAAATCCAGCCAATTAATCTCTGTACTGAGTAGAATTTGATAGGAAGACTTTGGAGCATATATTCAGGTATCAAAATAGAAGCAAAGTCCATGGCAGATGCTTTTTGTAGGACCCAAGTATCCAAGTCAACAGTTCCAGAAGCTTCTATCCATAATACACCATGGTTACAGGCCAGGATGTTGACTTTATCCTTTAGATTTCCCCTTGGTCATCAGGCTAACAATTTAAGAGGTTTTAATCCTTTACAAACTCATTAAATTTTCATATATTTGTTTCCTAAATCTCCCGTGTCATTTAGAAAGCTGCAAATTCCTTTTCCTTTTTAAGCTCACAATCATTATAGTCACAGGTTGTCATTGATTGCCGTGTGTCAGGTGGAAAAGGAAGGGGGGAGAGGGGTAGGGAGAAGCAGAGAGGATGCCTTGTAGGCATTCTATGTCCCTGACCCAGCTCCCCCCACCCCCATGGTAGGTGGTTGTTTCCTGGTTTACATATGGAATAATGAGACTCAGTGAGATTAAGCCCGTGATACACTCTCTCTCTCTCTCTCTCTCTCTTTCTCTCTCTCTCTCCCTCCCTCCCTCTCCCTCTCTCTCTCTCCTGGCCTAGGGCTTGAACTCAGGGTATGGGCACTGTCCCTTAGTTTTTTTCACTCAAGGGTAACTCTGCCACTTGAGCCACAGCTCTACTTCTGGCTTTTTGGTGGTTAATTAGAAAGAGTCTCAGCGACTTTCCTGCTTGGGTTGGCTTTGAACTGCAATCCTCACATCTCAGCCTCCAGAGTCTCTAATGCTTACAGGCGTGAGCTCTGATGGATGGTTGCCCATTTTAATCTTCCTTCCTGTCTGCCTTTCTTTCTTTCTTTCTCTCTGTCTGCCTTTCTTTCTTCCTTCCTTTCTTTCTTCCTTCCTTTCTTCCTTTCTTTGTATATGTGTGTGTGTCTGTTCCTGGGGCATGAACTCAGTGCTTTACCACTAGTCATCTTCATGACACTCCCTAGTCACTCCTTAGTTGTTTTTCAGATCCTGTCTCATACATTTATCCAGGCCAGCCTCAGACCACAGTTCTTTTTTTTTTTTTGGTCGGTTGGCTTGAACTCTGGGCCTGGGCGCTGCTCTATGCTCTTCAGCTCAATGTGAGTGCTCTACTGCTTGAGCCACAGCACCACTTCCGGTTTTCTAGTGGTTTATTGGAGATAAGCATCTCTCGGATGTTCCTGCCTGGGCTGGCTTTGAACCGAGATCCTCATATCTCAGCCTCCTGAGTAGCTAGGATTATAGGCATGAGCCACCAGCGCCCGGCTCAGACCACAGTTCTTTAGCCTCTACTTCTTAGTGGCTGGGATTAAGTCATGAATCAGTGGGCCCAGCTTGCCCATGTACTTCCACAGCTTACAAAACCATAGGCAGAGGAATTCTATCATTTGAGCAACTCCTGTGCCAACTCTGCTCCCACAAAGAGTTTTGGTGATTAGCAGTTGGGCCAGAGGGTTGCAGACCTGCTGAATTCTAGGACCAGCAGATGAGTGCTTTCTGATCCCTTTTGAGATGACTGTTCCTTCTGTAACTAACCTGTTTACCTTTCCATTCCAGTCCAAGATCCATGCGGCACGAAGTCTGAGTGAGATTGCCATCGACCTCACAGAAACGGGGACACTGAAGACCTCGAAGCTGGCCCACATGGGGAGCAAGGGGAAGATAATCAGCGGCAGCAGCGGGAGCCTGCTGTCCTCAGGTAGGGCCCGCCCCCTTCTGGAGGACGGTGGGAGGAGTCTTGCTGATGAGTTCAACCCCAGTTGGATCCCTGTGCAGTAGAGATAATGGTGGCTTCAAAAGCTAGCTCTAGAAGGACTGCATGGGTGGATAAGAAAAATGTCTGGAAGTATCCAAGAGCTAGTGGAGAGGATCTGCACGACTCCACCATGTGGGACGAGCTTCTGGGATCATAGAAATCTCCCAAGTCATCCCCAGATCCTGTCAGAACGCTGCCCCAGTCATCAGGAATGTTAGCTCCAAGGACAGAAAGTGAGGTTCACTTCTGCATTTTTAAGCAGGGATTTTTTGAAATATCTGATTATTATCTTTAAGTAGACATACAAAGGGGTTTCAATTCCAGCACGTCAACTTGTGAGTGCAGTGCGTCTTGATTCACGTCACCCCTTCCATCATTCTCCTCCATAAAGCAGGGATTGAACCAAGGTAGGACTGGCATCCGCAATCATGGTGCTAAGAGATGCTACATTCTCTGGCCAAGAACTTCTTGGGATTTGACAGGTAGAGACTACTCTTGTCTCTGGGTACGGTAGGATGATAAACACCCTTTCTCACTGTTAAGTCTGGAGATCAGGCTCTGCTGATGATTTCCGTGAGCCTGGGACGGGTCATTTTGTCATTGGATATGGGGACACACAGACAGGTCTGAGATTACAGATTTGGCTGGCTTCAAGAGAAAATGCCACTTGCTGAAATGACAGGGAGTAGTAGCTCAAGGAAGAGGAGAGAGAAACTGAGAGACAGAGAGGGGGAAGGGAGAGGGAGGGAGGAGAAAGGAGAGAGAGAGATTGGGAGAGAGAGATTGGAAAAGGGAGATTGGGATAGTGCGAGGAGCGATTGTGTGAGAAAAGTATAACCAAGGAAGAGTACTCCACACACCAGCTGGCTAAAACCTGATTGGTGTGGGTGTTGTATCACTTTGCCTCTGAGCAAAGAAGGTCTCCTCTTCCCTCCTCTTCCAGGGTCATTACTGTACTATTTAAAACAGCTGCAAACAACAATAGCAAATCAGAAAGGGAAAAGACCGGGGAGGAAAGGAAGCTCAGAGTTATCTGGTTAGCTCCATGGTTGGTGCCATACAATCCTAGCCCAGACAAAGCCTCCATGGAAAGAATTCTGGTAGGGTACCTGTCCTTCCTGCCCGGAGCTCAGGGAACAGCTAAAGACAACTAAGTTGGGGGCAGGGCACTAAGGGTGTGTTTACATCTTCTTATGTTTTGTCAAGTCTCGTGCACTTCTACACACTGTTGGTCACCAAAACCATAAGCTCCAGGCCCCACAAAACCTGAGCTGCCTCTGCCAACACCATGGGGTTTTACTCTAACCCCAAGGCTGCCTGGGATTCTCCAAAGTGTTTCCGGGAAAAGATCCTTCTTTGCAAGGCTTAGAAGTCTGTGTGAGTGGGATCTCCGCAAAAGTCCTTCTTCTTATATCAAAGAGAATGAATGCCATTCAAACCCTGAGACCCCTGTCTGGAATTACAGCCACTCCCAGCCTCCTGCTGAAAAGCTGAGGAGGGAGCCAAAGCCAACACCCTGTTTGTCTTTTAGACAAAACAGACAATGGCTTTCCCTAGCCATCATTAAAGTTGAGCCTCAGATAAGAGCCTAGGCCTAGCAGCTCATTTGCCTCCTGTATTCAGTCCCGGGGAGTCTAGCCCCACGCTACCTGGGTTCGTCCCAGGCTGCAGCAGAGCCATTTGGCAGACACTGTGGAAAGGAACAGTGCTGGGCCTCCCCCAGAGATTCTGTAAGTGTGAGTAAGCCTGGGAATAAGGATATGTTGCCAGCCCAGGGTCTATACTTGGAGAGCCCATCTTCTTGCTAGGGGGAGAGGTAAGATCTGGAGGTGCGGGTGTCCCCAGATGCGGGTGAGGGTTTGTGACCTTTCCCTGAGAAACTAGGGGCTCTTCACTTAGGGTCCTTGAAACTTCAGTCAGAATGACTCTCTGGACATGCCATAATGGTAAGAAAACTTGGTGAAGCTTTATTGGGGAAGCAAGCAGGCAAGCAGACAGAAAGACAAGAGCCACACTAACAGAGTGTGGATGCCTCAAAGGGAGAGCGATGAGGCTCTTGGACATCCAGGTGATTTATATGATAAAGGCAGGGTCTGACTCAAAGTTATGCCAATAAGTGTTTTTCTTTACTCACTCTTGGTGTTACACTTTTACCTCTTGAGCTCAGAGGCCTGAGTGAGACTGCCTGTACGTTAGCTATGTGCCCATCATGGTATCCCTTTTAGGAAAGAATGCATTTTGCCATGTATATGAAAACTGGTATTTCTCCTCAAGATAAAGAATGCATCCTGACACAGAGGTTTATCCTTTGAGATAAGCATGTTGTGCCAGGAAGAGCCATTTTTCCAAGCACTTGCTTCCTTAGGAATACAGGTCTTTTTAGGATACAGGTCTTTTTGTTCATGTGTTTATGATGGCCTTTCTCATCCTAATTATTTGGGGCCTGCAGGCAAGGTCAGATGGAGAAAGATGCTCTTGCTCTCTTTTTTTTTTTTTCTCCTTGTGTTAATACTGCAGCTCACGAAGGTGCGCGAGGGTTAAGACAAAGAAGTTGGTACTGTGTTTCTAAATACGCCGTTTCTAAATTCCTGGCTGCTATTCACCTTACCTTCCTGTCTAGGGGTATTGCTCAAGATCACAGAATCCTGGTTCACCTGCCTGAGCCTCTCACATCCTTAGGACAACCTCCAGCAGCTGTAGATATAGCCATGACCAGAACCCCCAAACCGAACATCCTACAATGAAATGGGCTTCGTCCACGCAGCCTAGAAACAATACAATCTATTGCAACCCTCGGGTTGACATGAATGAGCAAGCCAGTGGGCTAGAACATAAATCACAAGAAAATCTTTGGGCCCAATCTACCCCCACACCTAATCTATAAGCATCTTTCTCCTAGGCTATTTAAGTGACTTTCAGATGTTTAATCTGGAGTAGCAAGGCCACAGGTGAGATGCGTTGATAGGAACAGCTTAAGGCCATGAGCAGAGGAGATCCACTGGCTGGCATTGACACTCAGCCCTTTTGTCACCAACCAGCTGGGCAAGAAGAAACACAGGGTGAGGAAAAGAACCCTATCAACCTCTTCCCAACCCTGCAAGCTACAGCCTGAAAAACTCGCCTTCCTTGCCAAGGCTGAGGCTCCTTGGGGATGCCCCACGCCCACCCCCATGACTTAGGAAAAACAGAGAGGACAATGGGGGGAGGGACCACAAGCAGGATATATGCCATCTATCACCAAGTGCATTTCTAGGATCTACAGATCTTGTCCTAGCTCCCTCCAGGGCTGCTTCCCTTGCCCCACAGCCCTTGCTGGCTCCTGTGTTGGAAGGACATCAAACCCTCTCCTGGGAAAGCCATTAGCCCCTCCCCTCTGGATTTCACAATTCTAAGGCCACCTCCCTGCCCCACTCCCCACCCCTGCACCCCCACCTGAGAATTGAGGGGGCTGGCCATTCTCCCACCCCTGTCTCTACCCTTTCCTCTCTTGCCTGTCATGTGCTGATAGATAGGACAAGCCCACAGGCTTACTGTCACAGCTCAATGCTGACCTGAAGCACTGTAAAGAAGTACATGCATACATACCTATATGTCAGATTTCCCATTATAACTTTTTATCAGAAAATGAAACACTGAATTGAACTTGATGGTGCGTGCCTGTGACCCTCATTACTCAGGAGGCTGAGGCAAAGGATCCTGAGTTTGAGACTGGCTTGTACAAATGAAAGTAACTAGGGTTGGGGATATGCTCCGTTGTAGAGTACTTGGCTAGCATGTGCACAGCCCTAGGCCTGGATTCAGTCTCCAGTACTGAGGCGGCTGGAAAGAAAATGTGACACAAGAATGAATGTAAATGTGACATGGATAAACCAGTGTCAAGTCTGATAAACTGTTTCCTCTCCTTCCCCTTTTTTAAAAATATAAATGTTCCTCAAAAATATATCAGAGGCCAGTTGCCAGTGACTTATGCCTGTAATTGTAGCTACTCCGGAGGCTATGATCTGAGGATCACAGTTCAAAGCCAGCCCAGTAGAAAAGTCTGTGAGACTCTTATCTCAGTTAACCACCAGAAAACTGGAAGCAGCTCAAAGTGGTAGAGCACTGGCCTTGAGCAAAAGAGCTCAGGAACAGCACCTAGACCCTGAGTTCAAGCCTTCCATGACTGGTGCATGCATGCACATGCACACACAGACACAGACACACACACACACATGTTATCAGTAATTTTTCCTTTTTATGGGCATGTAAATTACCTTTAACATTGCTGAGAAATCCAATATCCAGAAATCCTCAATGTCCAGGGCCTCAAATGCTGCACAAATAAAGAAAAGTCGTGATAATCTTTGACAAAAGTCAGAAGTCCGTGCTGACTCATGCCCTGAGCTGTGAGCTAGCATATTGAAAAGAAAATGGTAACGTGGTTGAATGAATAATTCCACATGAGCGGGGACCCTGAATCCTGCAAAGGGCCGGAGCGGGAGCTTCATAGGCCTCGATCCTCCAGGAACGTTGACATGGGTTCCCTCTACATCAGAACTGCAGGCCAGAGCTGGGATAAATCCATCTGTGTGTAAGATGCAATATGTCTGCTAACTCACCTCTGGGGTAGCAGTAAGCTTGTTCTGCTCCATAAGAGCCCAGAACTTTCCTCCAAATTTGGAAATGACTTCTCTGTCCATGGCTTTTACTCCTCTGTGTGGAGAGAGAGAACCATTTTTTAGAAGGCTCAGATCCAGTTTGAGGACACAAGTGTGAATTTGGTTAAGATGTGTTCAGAGTTTTGTTTATAAAGGTCCTTAAATCCTTTATTTTTGGGGGGGAGAGGGGTTAGGGAGGGGCGGAGGGAGATTCATTGAGAGGTTCATTCCTGCTTTCTCTTCTCTCATTAGTTGAGATGCCAGAAAAGACTAAAAGGGAGGAAAAACAGGACAACACAAAAACAACACAAAACAACTGCGCTTGGCTTTGTAACTGTAGTCTTTTCATAACTCCTCTGGAAGTGGGAGAGAGCCTGAAGTTTGCTCTAAGCATTGTTTCAGTGACTTGCTGGCACCAAAGGAACAGGGCAGAGAAAGAATGGTTTCACTCTCCAGCTATTTAAAACAAGTGGTTCTGACCCATTTTAGGAAAATTACCCGGTGTTGTGCAAGCTGTGTGATTTGTATTAAGCACCTCAACAACAACAACAACAAAATGTTACTGTGTATTCTGTGAAATGTAAGGACAAGGCAGACAACTGTTGACATCTTGAATGGAGAAACAGGGGTATAAACTACCCAGTGCCTATGATACAAAGTGACATGTTGTATTTCTAAGTAGATATTTCGGCTGTTTGGCTAATGAGGTAGAATGGAGTAATCTTCAGTGTGATCAGTAGGGTTATAAAGGATGTAGGGAAAGATCGATGGCTGAAGATGTAAAATAAAACCAAACTAGTTTGCTGTCATACCACAGTTCTGACACTGTCTGGGAGAAAATATCTTTTGTTGTTGTTGTTGTTCTTGGGGCTTGAACTTAAGATCTGGGTGCTATCCCTTAGCCTTTTTGCTCAAGGCTGATGTTCTAGAACTTGAGCCACAGTTCCACTCCCAGCTTTTTTGGTGGTTAATTGGAGATAAGAGGCTCATAGACTTTCCTACCTAAGTTGACTTTGAACTATGATCCTCAGATCTCAGCCTCAAGTATCTAGGATTACAGGCGTGAGCCACCAGTGAGTACCCGGTTGAGAGGAAACATCTTGTCCTCAGCGCTGGCCCCAGCCTGGCCTGGGCTCAGTCCATGTTATTACTCAACTATTCTCACATTCTCCTTCTCTGAATACAAACACTTCCCTCCATTGTGAGACAGTTTATTAATAACTAGCATAACAATGAGGATGCCAGCTAGCTGAAATCTCTCCCTACAGAGGTGATCTGATCGGCGCCTGCCAATATCACTGTCAACATTCAGCTCAAATATATTTGTAAATCATCTGATGTCCTTTGTTTTGGTTTTTGTCTCTGTGTCTGCATCCCTTCCTTTTTTTTTTCTTTTTAATTGCTCCTCTGTCTTTTGTCTATCTCTCTGGCCTTTTAAAGTTTTCTATTGTCAGCTGCCCAGTGCTTCTCCTTTTAGGTCTAACAATGTGCTGGATTCCAGGAGCCTTGATTTTGGTCCTATTCTTGGCTGGACTATTGGGCACAGCCCCCAGGTACTGCCAAAGGAGTCCGTGCTTCCAGGGTTTGTTTATCCTGCATTGTGTAACTATAAGGGCTAAAAGGGCTCCTTCTGCAGAATCCATGTTTCTGGACTCATTTGAGCAGGCCTGACCTGAGTCAAGAATCAGAGGGAGACAGGGTGGTTGTTCTTTCCTATTTTAGGGAGAAGAAACAAAAATACAGTAACAATCACTTATGTGGCTGTTATTTATGCCCTAAGGAGGCAAAGGTAGGAGGACCTTGGTGTGAGGCCAACCTGGGCCAAAGTTAGTACAAGACTGTATCTGAAAAACAAAGTGAAAAGGGCCAAGAGTGTGTGCTCACTTGCCTAGCAAACGGGATGCCAAGAGTTCAATCTCCGTACCAGTACGAGAGGCAAGACAGAATGACAATGGGTCATCTAAACAGACCTCTTTCCAGAGATGAGGTTTTCAACCCTGGAAGACACATCTATCTTCCTGTCACCTCTGTGTTCCTGTTTGGTGAGCTCTTCTATGCGCTAGGGAGCATAGAAGAGAGATCTTTGAGTCTTGCAGTTCATCTCCCAATTCCACATTGCAATAGACTAGCAACCAGAAATATCAGCCCTCTCCTTTCTCAGTGTAAGCTATAGAAACTATGCTACTAACATAGGATTGTTTCACTTAGCTATTTTAGCAGATGCTGGTACCTTTTTGGGGGGTGGATATTGCCTGGGTACTATCTCTCTGATCTTTTTCACTCAAGGCTAGTGCTCTACCACTTGAGCCACAGCTCCAATTCTGGATTTTTTTTTTTTTTTGTAGCTTAATGGAGATCAGAGTCTCATAGACTTTCCTGCTCTTACTGGCTTTGAATTGTAATTCTCAGATCTCGGATCCCGAGTAACTAGGATTACAGGTGTGAGCCATTGATTCTTTCTCTGTTTCTCTCTATTTATCACCCTTCCTCTGTGTCCATCTATCTGTCTGTTTTTTCCTCGTACTTCTCTCCCTTCCTCCCTCTCTTTTTTTCCCCCACACTCCACATCTCCCCTTTGGAGTGACATTTGTCCTCCTTCCTCTTTGGGGAACATGCCACTGAGGATGTGGATCTCCCCAGAAAGCAAAGTCATCATCCCAGAGAGCACAGCTACCACCCCAAAGGCGCTTGCTTTTCAATGAGCTTCGATTTCAGTACTCTCCGAAGTGAAATCTTTTATTTCTTTCTCAGCTTGATGAAAACATTTCCAAGCATGCACTTTTCATGTTTTTTAAAAAAATGACATTGAATTCTCTGAGCAGGTCCCCTGAGATGACATGTTGATCTGCCATCTGGCAATATGGCATTATTTTACAGGGTCTCAGGGGACAATCTTTGATGTCAGGAATTCATCCTCAAGGATTTGTCAGGGAAATAAATATCTCTTTATCATAAAGGAGAGTTCAAACCTTTTCCCCATATTTACTCCTGGGTGCCTGCCAAAACTTTTCCTTGCAGCTTTTACAGATCTGCTGGGAAAATGCTGTCTTCATATTCTCTCTCTCTCTCTCTCTCTCTCTTTCTCTTTTAATTTCCCCTTAAAGGCCAAAGCAGATTTCCATTTCCCCTCTCTTGCTTTGAGGACAACAGACTTTTGTCTTGGGGGGCACTGTCTTGAAGGTACCCCACCCCATACTTTCTGGAATTCTCTAGCTGGTCAGGAGCATTCTGTCTGTGTGAAAACGGATGAGCCAGATTCCTGCCTGGGCCCTTCATTCACAGCAGGATGCTCACTCATATCCGGTGCCCGGTGCCTAGTGCCCACCACCCGGGCTCTTTAGAATGATTGGCACAAATTCTCCATAGCAGCTGACTGAGGAGATCCTGCCATGTGGTGGCCGGGAGGAAAGTTGCTATCTGCTCTGCTAACTTCACATCCAGCTCTTCCACTTGCAGCTGCACACTGGCCTGATGTGTGGAGACCCAGCTGGAAAGTAGGAAGGAAACAGTGAGTGATAGAGGCATTGCATCCAGGATCTTCCAGAATGCCTACGTCCGTCTTGGCAAAAGATCTCCAAACAACGCCCTCTGAAAATGACTGTGTCCATCTCTCTCTGTCGCACCTGTGTAGATAGGAACTGTGTTCTTTCTTGCCCAGCCCCTCTGGCTCACACCAGTAATCCTAGTTACTCAGGAGGCTGAGATCTGAGGATCATGGCTCCACAAGAAAGTCTGTGAGACTCTTATCTCTAACTACCCCAGAAGCCAGAAGTGGAGGTGTGGCTGGAGTGGTAAAATGTCAGCCTTGACAAAAAAGCCAAGCGAGACCTCAAAGCCCTGAGTTCAGTACTGGCACATCATAATAATGTGGTCTTTATGATCAGCCCTTGCCTCCTCTGCATTGGCCTGATTACTGATGACCTGTTTCAATAAAGTCCTTTGAATTAGGAGCAAAATGTCGTCATAAAAGAGCCAAAGTCAAAACGTTACATTTTCAACTTGGCATCAAGTAGGAGGTGTTTGCTAAGCACTGAATAGGAAAATCACTGGGTCCAAGGAGAGCCCCGGGGGGCACAAAAAGTGGGAGCCCCTAATTGCAAAATGGGCTAACACAAAAAGAGCTGGAGCAGTGGCTCAAGTGGTATAGTAGTAAGTACAAGATCCTGAGTTTAAAACTTAAAAGAGAACAAACAAGGGAGGGAGGGAGAGAGAGAGAGAGAGAAGGGTCCAATTGCACTTTTATACAAATTACAAAAATGATAGCTAGTGATAAGTGGGAACTACCTGAGTAAATTGTTTATGAAATAATAGATTCTTCTAGTTTGAGAGAATCTTGGAGAGCAGTCAGTCGGGCACTTTATTGATGGGGCCATGATGGCTCTGAGAAATTTGGAACCTTGAGGCTTTACCCTGTCCCCCAGATGTGTGATGGAAAGTCAAAGGTCTCTGCCCTTATTCATTCATCTTTTCCAAGGGAGCAGAAGAGATTCTCTCCATCTCCCTCTTTTCCCCTCTTCCTCTTTTCCTCCTCCCCCTCCCTCTTTCCCTCCCCCTCTCCCCCTCTCTCCCTCTCTCCTTACCTCCTTCCTTGTTTCCCTCCTTCCCTCACCTTCAGTCCCTCCCTCCCTCCCCCTCTCTCCCTCTCTCTCTTCCCCTCTCTCATCCTCTCTCCTTCCCTCTCTCTCTCTCTCTCTCCCCTTCTCTCCCTCTCCCCCCTCTCTCTATCTCCCTCTTTCTCCTCTCTCCTCTCCCATCTTGTGTGGCTCAACTTAGCCTTGCATGGCAAAAGCAGTGACATGTTCAAGAACGCAGTGGATAAATCACAGGAACCAATAGTTTGACTTCATTCCCCGACCCTGGATGCTCATTTACAATTATCTTCTTGTCTAGAACCGTTCCCTGTATAATGTGAGCTGTAGAGCTCTTCCCCAACTCGGTTTCCTCTTTTGCCATCAAAAGAGTGAATCTGACTTTTGGCTTCCTTTTCCTGGTTAGCGTGGTGGGCTCCTTCAGGAATGACGGCAGAGGGGGGACGGTGGCGGGGGGGGGGGGGGGCACCAGCCCCCAACACTCAGCACTTTGGACTCCTCCGGAGGGGGATGCCTTTTGGATCTCTCTCTCTCTCTTTCATCTCTGCCTCCCTTGTTTCTCTCCTCTCTGGGCTCTCTCTCTCCTTCCCTGTTCCTCTCTCCCTACTTCCTCCTCCTCTTTTCCTCATTATCCTCCTCCTCCTTGTCTCTCTGTCCCTTTTCCTTCCTTCCTCTTTCCCTCCCTCCCTGTCTTCTCCATCCCTCCTTCCCTTTGTCCCCCTCCTCCTCTTCCTCTCTCTTTCTTCCTTCCTTTCTCTTTTTCTCCCCCTTTCTCTCTCTTCCTCCTCATCCTCTTCCCTCTCTCGTCCTTCCCTCTGCCATCCCTGTTTCTTCCTCTCTTCCCCTCCCCATTGTTAGTAGACGTGCAGCATACTTTAGAAAACCTAGCTCCGGGGCTGGGAAGGTGGCTCAGTGGTAGAGCGCTTGCCTTGCATGCCTGAGGCCCTGGGTTCGATTCCTCAGCACCACATAAGCAAAAAGAAAAAAAACCGGAAGTGGTGCTGTGGCTCAAGTGGTAGAGTGCTAGCCTTGAGCTGAAGAGCTGAGGGACAGCGCCCAGGCCCAGAGTTCAGGCCCCACAACCGGACCAAAAAAAAAAAAAAAGAAAAGAAAAGAAAACCTAAATCCATCTTGCCCTTGCTTCAAAAATAGAATTACTTTTAAACTGGAAATCTGCATGTTCCTGGCAGGCTAGCTCAGTGCTTTGCAGGGCTATAACTTCACCCCTGGGCCTGAAATTGTTCCTGAAAGGATTTCTAAGCTTAAAGGTGTACAGTGGAGAAAGCTATCCTTAGGAAGGCCAGGTACTCATAGAGCAACTCTCCAAAACCACCCACCCTGCCAAGATTCTGGTCTGCCTGATGTGGGTTTGGTATGTAGATTATTATAAATAATTATAATTTAGGTAGCTTTAATGAGCCCTGGACCTCTAGGCCAACTCTTAACTAATCCTATCGCTGGAGACGCAGTCATCCAAAAATAGTGCGCTTGACTTCCCTGAATTTCTGTTACGATTTTTGAACACAGTTCTTAAATTTTACTTAATAAATCATCATTTCCTATTGAGAGGTGAGGCAGGGGTGAAAGAGAAAACAATGAGTTTTTCACTCGAGCTAGAAATCCTTTAATCTCTTTGGACCCAAATTTCCCTAGGCCCATTTAAAAAAAAAAAAGTGAAGTCTGACTTCCTTCCAGTATTCAGTTCCAGCCTTAAATGTTTTACATGATAAAACAGGGAGTTTCTCATTAGATTTTCCCATGTCTTCAAATGACTGATACGAAGAAAACCGGATAAAAATGTGCAATGCTTCCGCCATCTTGCCATGGATGGCTGTAGACTGAGTGGGAAGCTCAGGGCAGTTGACACGTGGCAGTAGAAAACCTGAACCATCTCAAAAAAGAGAGCCTGCAATAATATCCGATGATACCTTTCGTGCGTGCAACACCATATGGACTTAGCATAAGAGAGCCATGAGGTAATGGAGTCTCAGCATGGGCCATGCTTTTGCATGAGTTTGCTATTGAATTTGGAAACCTGCAAGTGCGTGAAACACATCAAAATCCAGGAGTTTCAACTTAATTGGACGCTTGGAAGGTAGTTTCAACAAAGAAACCTTATACAGGTGCTAGGTTGGGTTTTTTTTTCCCCTTACCAAGATGAGATATATTTTAATTATACCATCCAAGTATATGACTGACAACATTTATTTGCTTGTCCATTCGAGCTAACTGATTTGCTATTGGGTAGGCAAAAAAATGGTAAATAGGATCAGTATTGATTAGCAATAGGTGTTCAGTAATAGGTAATAGAGATTCTCAAAATCAAGTTCAAATGAACCAGAGAAAGAAAAGAACAAAATCTAAGTTAAAATGTGCTATTGAGAGTTCTTCATCATCAGGTCTGTGACAATCTAAGACACCCGGTATGGAAAGGAATATGAGCTTGCTGCTCAGAGGCTCTGTTTAGTGTGTGTGTGTGTGTGTGTGTGTGTGTGTGTGTGTGTGTGTGTGTGTGTGTGTGTGTGTGTGTGTGTGTGTGTGTGTACGTGCGTGTGCGCGAGCTTTGAACTGTGATTCTCAGATCTCAGCCTCCTGATTAAAATTATAGGCATGAGCCACCAGGCCCAGCTCTAATTTATTTTTTCAGTAGAAGAAAAGGTCAAAAGAAAAGGCATAACTGGATGACTGGATGACTATTTTATATTTGTTTACATTTTTAAACTAAGTTTATGAGTACAGTGCATCTTTGATCAATGCCATCCTACATTAAAAAATATTTATGGTAAGCAGGTATAAGCTTTTCACCAAGTAAAAATAAACTAATTATAATAAAATTAGGTGGGTTTGTTTTTGAGGCCATATCTTGCTAGACAGCCTCAGATTCATGATCCTCCTACCATGTCCAGGCCCTCTCCTTCCCCCCAAAAAAGAAAAAAAACAGCATTTTTAAATGGACCAGAGAACATATTTTTTAAAAGTGTTAAAATTATTGACTTGCACTTTACTTTTCTCTCCTCATGGTGTAAAACATATTAAAAATGGCTGGTGCAATTCCAGTGGGCACGTGACATATCTTGAATCAAGAAAGACAAACTTCTTTTTGTCAGAAGTGTCCATTTTCCTGCCAGTCCTCTGACTCTCTATAAATTCCAGGCAGTGCTGGAATGCACTCCTCCTGCTCGGAAGGCCAAGCACCTGTTTAATTTCACACTCCCTTGGTTCCTTAGGATAAACCCCAGATCCACAGTGTGGGCTCCAGTTAAATTCATTACTGGTCCAGATGTGCGTCTCCTGGTCAGCTGGCCTAGTAACCCTGCTGTTTATTGACAGGTTCTCAGGAATCAGATAGCTCCCAGTCAGCCAAGAAAGACATGCTGGCTGCCTTGAAATCCAGGCAGGAAGCTCTGGAGGAGACATTGCGCCAGCGGCTGGAGGAGCTGAAGCGTCTGTGTCTCCGGGAAGCGGTAAGCAGTTAAACCTGTATTGTCCGACGTCATCATCTATACCTATGGAAGGAAGGAAGGGTGGAGCCGGTTCTGGCAACCTCCAAACCTCCACCAGGTACTCTGGCACACACAGGAAGTAGATCTGGAGAGAAAATCACTTGTTAAAATTGGTGCCAGCAGTCCCCTAACTGGGACCCTGCCAGAAGTCAAATGACAAGGCAGATGAACAATTCCTTTTCCATGCACGGAGGTTTATAAAACATTTCCTCTCGTGTCATTACCTCATTCGTTAGAGTGGCTTGACTCTATTTTTCCAAGAGCATCTATCTGGATTTATGGTTGGGGGAAGCGTTTGCTTTTCCTGAAGACATTTCGGATATCATTGTGGGTCTGTAAGGTCACAGACTGAAATCCTCAGTAATCCATTTTTTAATTAGGTTTAATATTTTAAAATTTTTTGGTGCTGGTTCTGTTGCTTGAACTCAGGGCCTGTGCACTGTCCCCGAGCTTTCTTGTATAAGGCTAGCCACTCTTATCACTTGAGCCATAACTCTCTACTTTTGGCTTTTTTGGTGATTAATGGAGATAAATGTCTCATGGACTTTCCTGCCAGTGCTGGCTTTGAACTATGATCATCAGATCTCAGCCTCCTAAGATCACAGGTGTGGGCCACCAGTGCTTGGCAATGCTCAGGAAACCTTTTAAGTTCTCGGCATAGTATTCTGGCATTTTGCTGGTTAATTGGAAATAAGATTCTCTTCATATGTCTGACCCCAGCTGGCTTTCAACTTGGATCCTCTGATCTCAGGCTCTTGAGTAGCTAGGATTACAGACTTTTTTTTTTTAATTTTTGGATGTGTGTGTGTGTGTGTGTGTGTGTGTGTGTGTGTGTGTGTGTGTGTGTG